CAGCTGCTGGAGACATGTGCTACAGCCATTAGAGCCACCTCCGGGACTGCAAGGGGGAGGGTTGGGTTTTGCTGTCCCAACAGGGGGACACACCAGCCACTGGCAGGATCAGGCCCTGCTGAGACACTGGTCTCTCTCTACACTCTGTGTAGGCAGAAACTGCTTTCCCCCTGTCAGTTTGCTACCTAAAAAAACAAAGCCTGGAAATGCCTGATGCTCAACAGCTCTTTTTCTGCAGGCAGGATCAGTAATCAGAAGAGAGAAAGCTGATGATCGTGATGGCCTCAGAGTGTGCAGCATCCTTTTGCTAATGCAGGCAGCCAAGAAAGCAGGAGGAACAGCTTCCTGTGCAGGGAGTAAGAGGACTTCAAAACCCCAGTGTGCCTGATGATCTGCTGTGATGGAATGAGTCACTGCTTGAATTTGGTGAGCACGAGCATCTTTGCTGTTCATGTGATTACAGCTCATTTGAGAGCATCATGCCCTCTCCCCCCAAGGAATTTGTCATTTCTAGAGGCACCATGTGAATCTACTCACTGTTGCCTTCTTGGCTGGCCAGGCAGTGCCCCTGGCACAACCACCACCTCACCTCCTGACTCGGCTTTAGCACAGAGCAGCAGCAGGCAGACATGCACCTCTAGCAGTAGCAGCTCATGTGGCCAGCAGCCCAAGGAGCAGCTGTTTAATAGCACAGGAGCCAGCCCAGGACCTCACAGCAAAACCTGCCACAGCAGGAGAAGCTGTTGGTCTCTGCTCACATGCACCCATGCCCCAGTTCAGCATCAGCGCTGCCTGAGGCATCTCTTGTCGCTGCTCGGCACTGAGTGGCAACAAGCCGCACATAGCACCTGGCATCTTCTCCCAGGGGTACACACACATATACACATGGAAACCTGCAGAAGTCTCATGGCAAGAAAGAAGAGAGCGTTCTCCTTTGCCATTTCCTAAGCACAGTGTATTAGTCATATCTTGCCAGGGAGGAGAGTATCACTGTCTACTCCTTGTCTTCCTCTCTCCACTGCTGCAGCCCTGCTCAGTCCCAGCCCAGCAGGAAAATCAGGACATTACAACCACGCCTGAAGGAAGATTTTATAAATGGTGAAAGAAAGAGTCACTAAGGCTTCCCTGAGGGGAAAATTCCTCCCAATTGAACGGCAGGAGCAGAAAGGGCATGTTTGTGAATTGGTTTGGGTTAGGAGTTGTCCTGCAGGGGAGCACAAAATACTTGTGTCTTGTTTGAAACTGCAGGAACAGGGTGACCACCCCAAAGCTGCACCCTTGCAGAAACTATTTACTGCTACATCAGTTTTCCCTTCTATTCCTGGTCAAATTGCACTGACCACCCAAGCACCCCGAGAGAGCAGACCACCAGCTGAGCTAATTGCTGTGACGGCAACTAGTACAGCCCACATCTCCAGGTCCAGAGGGGAAGAAATCTACACTCCTGCCTTGAGAGAGGTGGCAGCACCCAGAGGCCTGAGGCTGCACAGCCCATGGGGATGCTGTAAGACAGTAACTGCACCTTAATCACAGACACTCCAGAAGCAGCAAATTAAAACAAGAGAAATAGCTTTTAAGCAATTGCTGCATGATGAAACACACCGTGCTACAGACTTCACAGACACCACCTCATGACAGTCTTGCATAAGGGGAACTAATTTCCTTTTAGGGTAGGAAAGGGTGACTGCAGCCTCTGCACCCCTAATGACACAGAGAGGAATGGGATGAGGCATGAGGAGAGGACCTGTGGGCATTTCTCTTTCTGATCTCGGAAAACAGCTGAGGTGACACAATGGTTGTTTGGGACACACTGTTAACACAGAGCCACCCATGCCACCTTCTGTGCTGCCGCTGCAAGCAGACAGGACCCCAGTCCACCCCACTCCTCCAGTCCCACCTCAGTGAACAGCCCTCCAGGATGAGCTCTCCTGTCTTCATTCATGTTCCACCTTCAACTCACATCTGAAAGAGCAGCCAGAGCCACACATAGGTCTGGGGACAAGGTCTCATAAATGGGTACCACCCCACCCCTGTCTTACCCAGTGCATCCCAGGAATGCATCTGCCATCCCCACCATAGCAGGGGCACTGGCTCATCAAACTGCTACTGAGCCACTCAGATCTGTCTCCTTGGCATATGCCTGTATTTGTGGGGTTTTTAGCTGAAGACCCTTCTCTGAGCCAAGGTCAAGCCCTCAGCCTCAGTCTTGCATGACCAGTGCCTTGCTGCAGCATGAAAATCAGGCACGTTGCTGGGACTGGAAGGAGCAACCTTCCTTTCTAGGCAAGGGAACACCAGTGTGTCTTGTACTGCGCTCTCCTGGGGCTTCATGACACCATGGCCCCACTGCCCACAAAGCCAAGCAGCTTGAATTAGATTCACTTACATTATAGGAGTTGGATTCACAGCACACTGTGCTGGGCCCTGAGAGCCACCGAGTGGCCATGCCCATTAGCTGCAAGCAGATGTTTCCATATGGCCAGATACAGGCATGTCTTTAACTGGTAATGTTTAACTTTCAACCTGAAATCCTAAAGGGTAAGAAAAGGGGCACACACCTGCTCTCTTTTTGACATGTCTGTGATGCAAAGTGGCTCCAAGGTACTCTACAGCACATAAAGCAAATACCCCACACGCCCTCTGTTATCCCACAGTAATAGGAAGGGGCAACACAACTGCAGTAGCCCACCTCTGTCCTTACAGGCAAGACAGAAAATGGAAAGATTTCCACTATCTTCGGGATAAGTGGAAGCAGGTATAGCAGAGCACAGCAGAGCTCTGAGCCAATCTGTATCCTCAGCTGGCCTTCTTAAACAGGCCTGACTGGCAATCACAAGCAGCAGCTGGGACAGCAAGGTCAATGGAAGTTACCTGATGGCAAAGGCCCTCTTCGGTCTGCCTCAGGGCTTTTTGCACGTGATGAGAAAGTGCAGCCTGTGTGACAAACCTGAGAGGTCACTGATCACGCCAGCGAGTGCCATCAGGTGTACCACAGACTCTGGAGCAGTGCTGGGAGCCCACACCTCCATGCACAGACCAAGGGCTGACATGCAGTCAGTACCTGGTAACCTGAGGTTCTGCAACTTCAGCTCTCAAGGTGCCACAGTCTGCAGCACCCTGCTGCAGCACACCATAACCAGGCTGGCAAGATCAGTGACAAAACCCAAGATTCTTCTCCAGCTTCCTTCTCAGCCTTGTCCTTCAGACCAGGATCTGAGGAATCCACATAACCCACCCAGTTCATGGTACCCCTTCACTTCTGGTACACAGAGTAAGTACACAATCTTAAGCTTTATTTTTCTATTGGCCAGCAACATAAACTGGTTAGAAAAACAAAAAAAAAAAAAAGCAATGAATATTATTACACAGAGAAAAAGTATGAAACAACTCAATGGACACAAGCCAACGTAACTGCTCATATCTCATTCTTCCTGGCCTCTCCCAACCCTGTACAATGTATGTGAAGTGAATGGGCAAAGGCAGCTGTGAAGATATGCTTAAGAAACTAGAAATACTGCCTCAAGCAACATGCTCAATATTTTCCTCTTAGTTAGTAGTCAATACTTGTCAGGAACTTGATTATAAAACAAGAAATAATTTAGAGATTTCTCTTTTAGATCTTCACACAATAATTTAGATTTCTTTCTCCTCTTTCCTTCTGCTGTGGAACCAAGGATACACATCAGTTCTTCCACCTCTCTTTCTGCATTAGTTAAGGATTGTTTCACGGGGCTGATGATGGGGGAGTTTCAGATTGACCTGCTCTGAATTTTAGCTTGTCACCCTTTAGTGTCAGTCCAAGATTTCTGCTCTGTGAACTAAGAACTCCACAATACTGCAAGACCCTTTAGGGGTCTGGATGATTTTGCTCACATTAGCTGTCCACTGCCAAGAGTCATGGCTCGAGCAGCACCACTGAAAGGTCAGGCCATTTATAAAAGGACTTGTCTTCACTGCTTAGAAACACCAAAGCCCCACAGCCCTTTCTGTTTCATGGGTTAAAATGAAGGTGAGAGCAAGACAAGAGGCACACAAGATCCTGTGACATGCTAAGACCCTGCTGGCATCATGATGGCACCAAGTCCATGGCAGTGGTGATGTCTATGTCCTGTATGTATCCAGAATCCCAGTGCAGAGAGAACAATTAATTAAAATCTATTAACAGACAGTTAACCCAGCACTGCCAATTTACCAAGTACACTGGGGCAAGTGGTTGATGTCAACTCTCCTGACCTTGTCAGCAGTAACCAGTCAAGTGGGCTTCCAGATCCCATTAAAGCCAGAAAACCCTCAGCCGATTAATGAACTCTTTGGAGGCTGATAAAACATTTGTATATATTAATTTCCTGGACAAGAGAGACAATCCTGGAAGTTTTAATTAGAAAAATCAAGACAAGGGCATCTCTCAACATTTAAGAGATGTGAGAAGGTGTTTCCACTAACTGAACAGACCAAAGGGTAGCAAGATATGCCAGCTCCAGAAACAGACCAGTTCTTCACCAAACCTCAGCAGGGGATAGGTAGGAGAAAACAGAAGTTCTCTCACTCACACTGGAAGCCACACAATAAAACAGACTAGGCCCAAAAGAATCAGACAGTAGTCCATCATCTTAGCTCCAGAATCGCTAGGAGGCAGAAGGCCCCTCGTGGCTCCTAATGGCACTGTGCTGGGGGAAGCTTCAAGGAAGAGGAGGAAGGATTGCTGAGAAATCCTAAGGCACCCACATCTTGGCAACACCAGTCATTACAAGATTTCAACTGCACCAAGTTGTGCTCCTGATCAGGAGGGAGAGTAGTTCCTGCCCCAAGCAACCAGGCAGGCATCTTCTCAGGTGGAGAACAGCTGAGGACATCGGTGCACACTTGGCAGGAGGGAGGGAAATCTTCCATGTATGAGACACTCAGCTCTGGCTCCAGCTCAGCACAGTAACATTATCTGTCCTCACAGTCAATGCCTGGTGCTGCTGAGCCACTTCTCAGAGAGCAAACCACAGTTCTTGTATAGCATCCTGATACTTTAATGTTGGCTCAGGAAAAACCTCAAGAGAAATGGCCCCAGATAAATCTTGCTTCATAGTTATAATCAAGGCACTGTTTCACTAAAGCTTGTAGCAGAAGATCCACACCTCTTGTTTCTTGACAATGAAGAGGACCAGCTGAACTCCTAGCTGCCTTCTACATAACAAGGAGGGTGACTTTCCCCCAGAGGGGCAGGTAAGGCGCTGCGTGGTTTGAAAGGCATTTAATTACAGAGCCAGTCCTCAGGTTACAGACACTTCTGTGGTGGTGGTGGTGGAGGAGAGTGGTCAGGTTTGCAGGTACTAAGGGAAGTGGCAGAGGGGGAGCAACAGAGTTCCCACAGCTATTAATATGGTTCTGACTTTAAACTCTTGTACAAGCAGCAGGTGAAAATCATCCCAAAGATCTATGGGGTGTAAAGAGAAGAGAGAAATGCATGAGAAAACAGAATGGATGCACCAGAGCTTGCAAACTAACAGTCTGGACCCAGCAGCTAGCTCCTGCCTGGGGATACCACACTCCAGTTTGCCAAAAATAGCAGGAGAGAATATAATCTGTGCTAATCCTCATAATTAATCACCAGCAGCTTCTCTGGGGCGTAATGTGGCTACTTTCCAGAACAAAAGGGGAAGATGAGGAACTCCCAGAGACATCTGCATTTGGAAGAAAAGAATATACAGTGCCCTGCCTTCTAAAATGGGAGAGAGAGGCATCTATATCCTACCCCTTTATTCAGCATCCTCTCCCAGATCCTTTGCAGGCGCACAGTGCCATTCTTCAATATGACACAGCTGAGGGAGAAATTCTGGATGACTTAAAATAATCCTAATTATTTTAAGACCAAGGCAGGGAACTCCAGACTGGCTCTTCAGCTGTGTGGGCAATCACGGCACATCCCCACAAGAGGTCTCCCTCAGGCTGCCAAACTGCCTGCCATGGCCAGCACAGCCTTTCACACAACCCTGGAGTAGAAGTCTCTCCCCCATGCCCAGCTGGCTGCACTCTGTCATCAGAAGCAAATTTTACAGACAGGCAGAAGAGGCTCTTGCTTTGGAGCCAGTTAAGTCCTCGGGTCCCGAAGTTCTTGGCAAGTTCTTGCCAGGCAGGGAACAGCCTAAAATCTCTTTTTCTTTTTCCATCCCTCAGCTTGTGGGTTCCTTTAACTTCTGCCCAGCACCCCCAAAACTCGACTCAGCCTTTTTACCTGCACACAAGCAATGCTGATCCCCACTGCCCCGATAATTTTCAGATGCTCTTGAATGAAGTTTTCCAGCTTGGTAATGCAACCGCTCTGCAGGGTGAAAGGAGAGATATGGAAAATCAGCTTCATTTTAACCTCTTGTTCGCTTTAATCCAATGGTTGTGACCCTTGAAAGCAATGCTATAAAAAGCTGTCTGTGAGCAAGCTCTTTCCTGACATCACTGGGAAAGCTGCATCATGTTTTGTATTGCTCTGGACCTACTGGCTCAGGAGCTGTTGAACAAACCAAAGACAGCTGCTAACCGGGCAGGAGAAATGCAGAAGAACCGCTCACAATACACAGAGGGAGAATGTAATTTTTTTCTCCAAGATATGAGGAGAAAGGGTCCCTCACTCACTGCCCAGCACATGCCGAGAGAGGGTATTTACTCTCACCAGGCCAAAAGGCCAAGCAAATGTAGCTGAGTGGATCCAGTACCAAGAACTCTAACATGGCAGGAGCCTTTGAAGAGTAAATTCCTCCCACTGCTATTTATGACAGCAATTAATTTCAGTGTGAATCTGGAAAGCCAGCCTCTGCCTGCCTCTGCCCTGCAAGTGCATCCTTGGCTGTCAGCGTGACCTTTCCCTCCCTGTTTCAGGCCCATTTTTGTTGTCATGAGGCAAAAAAAAAAAAAAATCAGTAAAAGCATTCTCTGTGTTACCTGGGGTTTTTGTTTGGTTTTGTTTTGGTTTTTTGTATTTTAATTTTGGAAGAGTGCCCTTTAAATAATTAAACTGTTTAATCTATTGAGAGAGGTTTTCCATGGTAACATCTAGGGGATTTACTACATAGATTTACAACTGCTACCCTGCAAGGGTGCTGAGGGCCCTCCTGCCCCAGGAGTTTACAGTGAACACAGACACCTAACACACATGCAGGCAGAGAGAGAGTGAGCACACAACCCTTCAGGTAGGGATGGCAAAAGCCTCACTTTTTCCATGCCAGCATTAGGCTTTAGAGCCAGCCCCAGCTGTCCTGATATGAAACAATTACTCTTGTTCCTTCATCTGACCCTTTTATAGGTTTTTCTTCCCCAAAGCCACAAAAATCCCTTCTGAACTCTGACTGAGACCTCATATGATATCCAGCATCTGACCGAGGATCCAAACCTCCCCTCACAGCTTCTCTTCTAGAGCTAGTCCAATACATTCGGCAGCCCACAGGGCCTCTCTTAATTATGCAGCTGGGCAGCTGCCTCCAGCTTCATGCAGCACAGAAAGGGGATGGGAATTGCCAGCCCTGCCCCTCAAATGGTTCCACTCTCAGAAACACCTCATTAGCCCTTGGACTCTTTTCTGTACTTCCTCACTGGGTCTTGTCTTGAAGGCACAAACGTTATGGTTTCTTCCTGAAGAGCAAAACCCAGCTAAGCAGATGGACATAAGAGGGACTTTGGTAGATAAGAAAGACTGGACTTTATCTCCCTGTTCATTCCACAAAGACACATGATTAGTTTCCTTTTAGCTGTTTGTTGCTTAGCTTAATGTAAATGTTAGGCTCCTCTTCAGAGTCTTGTTCCAAGCACAGACTGTGAGAAGAAATACCTGCTCTGAAGGTGTCACTTCATCCACAGCCTCCCTTAACTGTCAGGGGGACAGGAACAAGGAAAAAGCTGCTCCCCAGGCTTAATACAGCCAGTCAAGGTGATGGTTCCAGTGATCAGAAAAAAGGTCTATGCTACCTCATAGAGAGTGAGCAACTTAAAGCTAGGTGACAGGACTGGAGGGTGACAAAATAAATGGAAGAACTTTCACCAGCCTTATGCAAACTGGATGAATAAATGGTCTGAGAGCTGCATCTTTGCTTACTCAGCCAATCTGGGATTCAATTTGCTGCTTCTAGCAGACAGGCAAGCCCCTCTATCTCAACTCCAGACTTCTTTTCAAACTGCAGCCCACTGGAACTTGCCTAATTTGTCTGCTCTGGGACCCTCTTTCTTTCCCATAGGCTGTTTCTTCATGTTGGAGGTCAAATCCCATTATATCAAATCGAGGACCAGAGGTATGTCCATCTGCACCTCACTGAGTAATTCCAACAACAGGCAGATGACAAATGCAGGGTTCACATCCAAAGCCTCTTGCCAGAATCAGTAACTTCTTCCACTTCCCCCTATCACCAGCATACTCTGGAGTAACAAATATAATGTACTCTTTTTCTCTATATTGACACACAACATATTCGCCCGTATGGCTGAACACTCAACTAGAGACATGAACTCAGCTTTCTAGGGAATCTTACTGACTTTGAAACCTCCTGACAGTTTGCAGCAATAACCCAACACCCTCTCCCTCTGCCCACGTCCTTTACATACTTTGTGACAGGCGGCTCTGAAGCCCTTTTGCTCCTTACCTCCTTGTAGATGTTGGAAGGATGGTCTCTTCGGCCACATAGGTCGGTTATTGTCTTACAGCAGCTGTCTGGGACTTTCCGTCCACTGGCCTCTGGAGATTTGATCCACAGGCTGTCAGCCCAGTCTGTGTAGTTGTTGCTCCCACAGCACTTGAACTGCAGGCACACAGAGCAAAGGCTGAGCCTTCAAGCACTGTAACCTCCTTCTCCCTCCAGCCTCCCACACCAAGCCCTGGGCTTCACCCTCATTCAGAGAGACTCCAGTTATTTCATGGGCTTTTTTTTAGGCTACTATAATTATTAGTGACTTCTAAAGAATGTCAAAGTGGCTGCTAAATACCAGCTTCATCCATCTTTCAGCAGCTGTGACTTCTGGTTACTGCTGGGATGACTGTGATCAGAGCACACCTGCAGCTGTCTCAGCTCTTAACCACTGGACTAGAGAGTGTTAATAGCAATAACAGGGCAAGTTTAATTACCAGTTAGTATTACAAATGCACCTGCTATGGCAGTATGTGTATAGTAGGCCCCATGCTTTGAAAGTGCCTGTGCACAAGGGTCCTTTCTGTGTGAAAGCCTGTCAGAATTGCGCAGCCCTAACCTGAACCACCCCTGAGGCAGGTAAACTAGGAATGCTCTTCTTCCATCACATCTTGCTCTCTGGGGTACTGAGGAGCTTAATGAAAAATGTCAGCAATTTCTCTAAGGTTTGAAGTGGGAAGTAGAAACAGCTACCAGACTGACTTGGCAGCTCCAGTTCACTCTGAGCGCAATTCAGATGATGTTTCCCCAGTTCTACTGGCCATGGAATTCAGAGATCACACCATGCAATTCTGCCAATTGCATGGCCCAGGCCTCGCACCCACCCAACCTTGTCTTGAATCAGGAGCAGCAGAAGCAGCAGCATATAGAAGAAACACTAGTGTGTTGGATGTCAAGAGCCCACAATGCCTTTTGTATGTTTATTTTGATCCCTGAAATTAATTCTCCCTGCTTCTAAAGATACCTACCTCCTGCTGCAGTTTGTCTACTGCGCTTGTGACACTCTCTTCTCCCTCCTTCCGGTACTTCTGGGTCATGGTGTTCTTCAAATTTTGCTTCAGTTCCATGCTCAGCTGAACGGAAGAGATAAGTGGGATAAAATCACAAGGCAAACTCACGCCTTACAGCAACCCAGAGCCCTGCATACATTTTGTTGCCTTTGCTCCTACAGGAAAGCAAAGAGCCTAGTGGAGGCTATAGCTTCCTCCAAGATCATCCTCCAAGGCTGGACTGGACAGGCTTATTTCCAAGTGATTACAGAACATGTCTCCATTTTAATAACTGGAAGGATGTGCCTCAGGACCAAATTTCAGCCTGTGTTACACATCACCATGTGGTTCTTAACCTTGAATATGTAAGATTGCCAAGACGTACCCGCATCAAAAGAGAATACAAAATGGCCTGCTTTTAAATATGAATATACCTATGAGACCATGTGCAGTCTTCTCCCTCTGAAGCCTGTGACAAAATACTAAAAACCAAATCACTCTGCCCAGGAGCAGTAAGAAGTCCTGGGCATGCTGGACTGAAGCTCCATAGTCTGAATAGCTCTTGTAACAGCATCAAAAAGGATGCCACAGGAGGGAATCAAGTGTGCAATTGCAAAACTACTGCAAGGCCTTTCTTGATAAGAGAGACAAAGTCTAATTTTGCAAGTACAAAATTTCTGAAAGCACCATCATAAACCACTGGCATGTTCAAGTAACTGGATTCAGACATTTATTCCTGGGTAGGTTCTTTCAATGTAGCTGAATTCTTCTCATCCATCCTGGTGACAGCCAAAAAGTGCCAAAGAGCCACATCTTTTTTGTCATCCTGGTTCATACAGCAATACTGCTTTAGTCCAACACCTGTGAAATTCTAAGTTTCTTACACCAATAAACAACATCAACATGCATTTTAGATGGGGTCAATGAATGAAACAGGTGTGCAGCCTCTCTATGTACCTTTTATTCTACAAAGTAGTAAATGAGAAGTCAAGCATCCGGCTGTGCTGAACTGTGCAGAATACAGTCTGCAGTTTATTCTCCCTTTGAAACACTGTTTTTTCCAACCCCATGTGTCAAATGGGGACAACACCTACCTCACAGAGATGATATGAGGCTTCACTTAGTAATATTTGCAAAATGCTTTGAGATCCTGGGCTGGGAAGCTCTACAGAAGTGCAAAGGACTTAATGTAATAAAAAGAAAGGAAAAGGTTCAGCGGCTGGAAGGCAGAGGCAAATAAAGAGGAGAGTCCATTAGCAGAATTATTACTTGGGAGAAAAGCCGTTACCTGCAGGCTCACGGGGAAGAACTGCAGCATGGAACAGAGATAACAAAAGAAATAGTTTAGATACACATGCACAAGCCTTAGACACCAAAGCAAGGGCTGAAATAAAAATGGAGGCAAACAGAGCAAGCCTGCAACCAGGAAAGAAGGCAGATTCATCAGCGAGAGAGCAAAGGGAAGTGCAGCTATTGATCACAGATGCCCCCAAGAGATCTAAAGCACTCAAGGGTACAGCTTTAAATATGTCATCCCTTATTTAAAGATCAGCTTATCTTCATCCACTGGCACACATGAACCTCGTGCCTTTGCACAGATAGATGGACAGACCCTGGTTTCTCACCATGCCTGCCAGGATTGGTCTCTCCCTGTTAAATATGCACACGCTTAACACTCATCCCTTCTGGCAGGAGCCAGCACAGTTTTTTGGCTCCTCACAAACTGCCAGTGTCCATCTTACTGAGGCCAAGCACAGAAGGCCCAAGAGAAAAAGGAATAGCAAGGAATCCCAGCACTGAAGCCATCAAGATGGGATGTCCAGCTGCTTTTTAGAAAGTCATTACCATTCCCAATCAGTGTCCAGACATTGCAGGTTGTCTGTGCCTTGGTGGTTAAATTCCATTTGAAATCAAAGAGATGACTTAAGTCTCTGGTCTCTGCAACTGCAAAAAGTGCCAAGCTAGAACTGCAGCTGCTGGGACCCTGTACTGTTCTCCAGCCCCTCAGCTGGGCTGCTAAGTAAAACTCTCAAAAACTTCTTGACCTGAAAGGACCTCCCAGCTGGACCATTCATTATGTCTGCCAGTTCAAAAGTACAGCAGCTTGCTTGCTAGATGCAGCAGGAACTGTTCACATGTCCTGAATATAGTAAGTGGCACTAACATAATTTCAGTTGCTTGCAGTATGCCTTGAAGAGCCTTAGGAGAGTTCCTAGATTGACATAGGCCCCAAAATTGTCTTGTATAAGGCTCTGCAGAAAAGCAGCACACAAAGGTGAACCACAGGAAGGAGCTGAGCAGCCTCCCTACAGTAACCACCACCATTTTGTCAAAAACAGTAAATAATCCAAGGTCTTCTGTCTGAGGAGAGGAGTGAGTACAGACAGGAGAAAAGGTGAACAACAACCAAACCCTTGGTCCCAAGCCTCCAAGCTCAATTCTGGCTCAAGAAATGGGATGATCACCAGCTGTCTTCTGTCCCTGATTTGAGCCTCTAAATCCACTCACCTGTTGGTAGTAGATATAGGCCAGGATTCCAGCAATGATCTCCAGGAGGAAGATGCACAGCAACAACATGAAGTACTGTAAAATAATGGGAAAAGCAGAACATTATAACAGGATGTATGGAGATGCTGAGAACCAGCTTTTCCTTAACTGGTAAAATGCATGACTGTCCTCAACGCATGATTGTGTATTCAAAGGCAGGGGCTGGGATTAAGACCTCAACAGCTAGGAAAGGAGCAATCCCACAGGTTAAAAAAACAACAAACAACTAACCACAGGATAACTGAAGACAAGCAGCAGCAAGTGTAAGTTTAACTCACAGAGCCAGAGGGATGTAGAGAATGGAAAAGTGCAGGCAACTGAGATAAGATCACTAGACAAAAAAAAGTAGTTGCTGTATAACCTGATGACTACATTCAGTATCATAGAAAAAATCCGATTCTGACATCAGTATGTTTTTAAAACATTACACTTTTGCTTGTTTCAATATTTTTTAGGGCATTTCACTAATTTATTAAGGAGCAATGTATATTAAAATGATGATTCAATAAAGCAACAAAGGTCCCATTTCACCAAGGATATAGCAGAGCAGCCAAGCTCAAGCATAAACCATAGATTTATGTTCCCAGAGACTTCTGTGGGGCTCAACCATAGGCTGAAGGGCACTATTGAAGTGGACGGACTTTAGCACACTCGGGACTGTGACTATATGTTCTGCCGAACTAGGACCTAGGGGGAAAAGCTCAGCATCTCAAAGCAAAGCAAGAAGAGCTCTTAGAGAACTAAGAGAAGAACCTGACTATTAAAAGGGCTTAATGGCAGTGAAATGAAAAGTGATGTACCCTGCTTACCAGAAGGAAACTCAAATGGGTAATATAGAAAACTGGTTTTTAGAGTATTGTGCCTATACACAAACAGAAAGGAAAGCCAAACCATGTGTGCAAGATTTCAAGAACTGGGCAGGCCTGAAGACAGAGGGTGATGCAGCACTTCCTCCTTAGGGTCAAAGAGAGCTTTTTACGGAGAACCCGTCCTGAAACACAGCTCCTGCCTTGCTCCGGTTGACAATGAATGATCTTTACAGATCCAGGCTGTTTTATGACTGTTATTAAATTGATCTCTCTGTAGATAAAGCTGAAGAGACACCAGTTCCAGGCATAACAAGAACCTCATGCTAAGCCCCTGTAAGAGGTGGCTTCCCCAGGACAGAACAAACAAAATAGCTCCCATTTTCTGTTTTACCCCAACTTTAGGAAACAGCTGTTCCCAAGGGATGAAGCAAACAGATCCCTGCAAATATAAGTGGACATCAAACTGTTTCTCCTCGCCACAAAGAAGGACAGTGAAGGCCTGGATACAGCAAGCTGACCTACGCTGCACAGATGCCTTCTGTTGCACAAGGGTTACACTCCCAATGTGCATCCTCCTTCACTAGGTATTTCCAAGCCCCTTTGCAGAAGTTAAATGACACAAACACTCAGGCTTCCTCTTTCACCCTGTTGGGATTCAGCAGCTGCTAAGGATGGACAGCTGGGTTTTATCTGCAGACTGGGCTTTAATCTAAGCACACAATCTCAGGCTTTCACTCCCAACCCCACACTCTCCCCCGCAGCCAAACACTGACCATCTCTGTAGACGCCTGTACAAGGTACCCATTCATACCAGGGGAATGAGTCACCCAGTGGAGTGTGGGATAGCTGAAGGCTGGTCCCAACACTCACACTCGCAGGAGGTTGAAAGGGGGCAAGAAAGGACCAGAACGCCTTGACACAAAGGCTGGCTTTCTTTTGTTGGGACCTAGTTATGCCCTAACTGCTCTGACATCATTCCTCTGGCAAGGAGGGGGCAGAAGGGTGGCAGGATGCTGACAACAACCAATGAACTGGAAAGTTTCTTTTATTTATTTTTCCCTGCTCTGTGTCATCATGTCAGGGGCATTCAGGTAGAGCTGAGTTGTGTCATCACAGCTTGGTTCATTGTGCTGGCTTACAGTGGATAGAAACAAACATGTACCCAGCAGACCTTAACAAATTTGAGTCACAAGGTCCTTGTGAAACCTCGTAAGGGAGGTTAGTGCATCTGCCACCCATGAATCCAACCTGTCTCTGCTCATACACTGCATCATTAACCTTAACTCTGTCTCATCGTTCCCTCAGGGCTACTTCCAAATATTACACTGACATAGGGAAGCAGCAGCTATGACTCTGGACACATACAGAGCACATGGCTGCTCCTCTTCCTCTTCATCAGGAGTCACAGGGCTTTCTTAGGGTCTGCTCTGGGAGAAGTAGGCCTGCTCTGGCAAGGACATGCCCTACTCACTTCCCAAGAGGCTGTGGAACAAGTCAGAAATGTGGGATCGCCCAAAGGCCTGTAGTAGACATGTGCTTGGGCGGGCTCTGGGCAAAATTCACTCTTAACTATGGATCCGAGCAAGAGTCAGGGCTATCTGGTGTCTGTTCAAGATCTACACAGTTCAGGTTTTTCCATCCAGCTTCAAGAGCTTCAGTGAAGCACCAAGCTTTAATCTGTTTTCTCTGATTAACCCAAAGAATGGTTCAACCCACCTACTATCCAAATCACTGTCTGGAATGCTCTTTCTACTACCTGAAGAAGAGACATATAGCACCTACACTCCTAAGTCAGCAATCTCACGTCAGTGGGAGGGTTCCAGGCTGAAATGCAGCAAGAACAGATATCATAACCAATGGGTGTTCCCTTTTCCCTCTTCAAGGTAGCAGCTAACTAGAAGTGGCAGCATGAGGGGCCAAGCCTGAAAAAAGCCACCTTCTTTATGTGCAAGGCCTTTATTTGATGAGTTCTTTACAAAAGACTCCTGCTTGCATACTTTTGTGTATGAAAACATGAACCTTGACTGAAGCACAATATAACAGTGGCTTGTGTTCTTGTAAAGAACTGGATTGCAGCATCACAGCCAGCCAGGCTGCAGACCCACTGCCATGCCTGCTCATGGAGCCAGAGAAACTCCACATTCACTGCCATGCCTCAGCACATGACCTGTCTCAGGAGGGACAGAGGAAGGCAAATAAGCAATGACATAAAAAGAAGTAGCACAGCTGTGAGTGATGAGCAATTAAATACCATGAAAAGCCTTGAAGAGGGCCCATAAATCTCAAGGTAGAAATGCAGCAAAAAAATTCACAGCTTCCCAAGTCTTTAACAGAAAAACAAACTAAAAACCATTTTATAAACAGCACCCAAAACTGTCAGCAACTGATTTATAAAAGCACCAAAAAGGCACTAGGGAGAGCAGAGAGTGCTGCTTACAGAGTTTCCTCTCATATTTATGTGGACCTCTGGTACAGATTGAAACTGGGGAACGCTGACACAGACCCTGAGGCACTGACTGTGAAACTGTCACATTACTGTCTGAGATCAGAGCTGGCAAAAGCCCCCAGCCAGCCTCACCCAGCCCTGGCAAGCACAGCCCTAGCTCTTGTGCAGATTACTCACCAGCAGCCAAAGTAGAGCACAAGCAAGAAGAGACAATAGGCCTGTCACAACCAGCCACTCCTAAAACGCTTGGTGTAAGGAGACAGAGTGACCATTTGTTCTCAAGAGACAATTATTAGTTTTCTGTGGCAGAATAACAAAGAAACCCCACCAGATTTTCATCTGTAGCTTCTGGCTGAGGCAAAAAGACAAAGGGAGATCTCTTTGGCACGGAGAGTAAGTGAAGCAAGGCCAAAACGGACTGCTACAGACCAGGAGACTAATGAACAAGCACCAGCAGTGCACCCACTGCATCCTCCTCTGTGTTTTATTCTCCGTTCTTGGCCCTACTCTTCCTCTCGCAGGGATTACCAGGCCTTCAAAGAAGTGGTACGAGCATCAAGCTTGCTCATGATTCCTATTTCTGCTCCTCTATCCAAACCAAACAGGGGAAATAGGACAGTTAGGAAAATGAGGACTTGCAAAGGAAGGACCTGATCAAGAGTTGCTGAAGTACCTTTTTCTCTGTGGAAGTAAAGAGCCACTGATAGTTATCCAGTCACTGCACTCATCAGTGTAGCCATGAAACTAAAAAAGTCTGCTTCTACACTGAGATTTAGAGGGAGATTTAGAGGGAGGAAGCAGAATAAAACTCCTAGGGCTGGTCATAATCTTCAATGTAGGTGGGCGAGCAGTTTGCTCAGGAAGTAACACAGCGAAAGGTGTAAAAGCAGCAGCAGATTATCAAAACAGTGTGGCTTTTTTGGGGAAGCAAAACTACTTTTTTTTTTTCTTTGCAACTAAAGAAAATACTTATTGAAAATGTCCTGATTTTTGACAGCCAAGTGAAAAAGTGTGTTAATTTGGCTGAACGTACTTTCATTAAAAGACAGTTTTGCTATGGGTCTTCCAAAAGAGAATGTGGGATGGGCAGGGAAGAAGGAAGAGTCAAAAGACACAAGATTTTGTTTTGGATAGTTTCAAATAGACATTCTTATACAAGGTACCAGTATTACAACTATACTTTGTACTTTTGAACCATGCAGTGGTAAGCACATTCTTTATGTGGATGAAAGGAAATACTCTGCAGTAGAACCTGTCCCACAGGACAAGGACTGTACTGCTGTTAGGAGCTGGAGTGGTATTTGCTCTAGGACAAATAAGGGTGGTGCAGAACACAATCAAGATGTTTCCCTCCCTCCCAGCATGTTTTAAGAGAAAACGGTGCAAATCCTCCCCCAAACAAAACAACCAAGTGAAACTTACCACTCTTAGCAAATTCCTACGCTCTTTGAAAGTGGCACAGCAACCAAGGATGCCAGTAACCATCACAACCACCCCAGCCACCACCAGAATATAAGCAGTTGCAGAATATGTGCTGGAGGAAAGCAGGCTGATGTAGTCACTCTTCTCAGCTAGGGTCCAGGCGCCCACTGCCATCACGGCCCCACCAGCCAGCTGGGTAGAGAGAGAAGCAAGCAAATGAAGGACATCTGATGCGTGAACTTCCTAATCTCCTAGAGCAACTGGACTGGGATACCAGGATGTGCTTCAGCTCTGTAAACTGAGCCAGAGATTATCTCTGCTAAAGGAAGGACTCCCAGAGGTCTCACTGGGATGGGGAGCAGGCCCCAGTACGCTGGGAGGAACTGGGCTTCAAGGCAGCCAGCTTAGCAGCCCGGGCAGCCTGAGATGCAAGCCATCGGAAGCATCTACCTGTGCACAGCAATTCACACCTGGGCCAGAGACTTCCCAAATGTAGCCACACTGTTATCTGGGCGACTATGAAGAAAGTATCAAATCTATTGGGGTGCTATGGAGGAAACAGCTTCACATCAGCAGGCTTTCCACTCACTGACTGTGAGGAAGCAATGCTACCAATAAATGACAGCCATGCCCAATATCTGCTTCCTAGACTATACACCTGGGGAGAAAGCAGTCAAGAAGCCAAACAGCCTGGCTGGTTAAACTCTAACCCTTGCAGGAAATGAACATGGAGAAGCCAATCAGACTCCTAGAGGTCCCTTCTCTCTTTGCAAGCCTGGTGTTTCTGGAGAGTTTTATGCAGCTTCTAGTAAATTCAGACAGTTTTCCTTAAAGGTCTGACCTAGAAGCTCTGGCCCAGGAAGCAAAGGAAAAAATAATTCTTTGGTATCAGTAACTTTCTGGTGGAAAGGACACCTCTAGGAAACTCTAGTGTGGACCCAGCTGCAAGAAGGTGTTTGTTATCCTTGCTCTGGGTGTCCCACTCCACTGCCAGGACTCCCTCTGCCATTTTGCGAAGACAAGTGGCAAGACAGTGGAGTCCTCAGGCTGCCTGAAAAAGCAATCCAGGTGAACAACCAAAGCATGTTTTCAGGCTCCCTGTTATTTTCTATACTTGGCAACATGACCATGAACAACAGAGACTACCATGTCAAACCATAACTTCTGCAGGCTGGGCAGGCAAGCCCAAGGGACGGGGTTTCACCCCACATGATGAAACCTGTGTCCTTATTGCTAAGGACTTCACCAAGCCCAAGATTTCTGTGCCCCAACACCAAAACTGCAGTGCCATCTCTGTGCCTTTAAAATAGACTGAAGTTTCTTACCCAGAAAAAGAAGTTGAAGATGAAGAGCAGGTACTTGAGACAGATGGTCCCACATGTTTCCTTCTTTTCTGTATACTCACGCATCTTCCTGGCTCAGCAAGTTCCTGGAATAAAAAATAAAAAATGAAAAAAAAGGAAGAAGCAGAAAAGGTTGAATGAGCCCTCACACCCCTTCTCTCAAAAGGTCAGTATTACTGCTCTCCTCCTGCAAGAACTCACACTTCCGACCTGTTCCTGAAGTAAGCCAGTGAGCAAGCCATACAACTAACTTCAGGGATGCTAGTCAGTGCTTGCTGAGATAAAAAGCTCTTGTATCCATGTGGGTGACCTACACAGCATGAGGCCTCACACCATATGAAAGGAAGACAGATGGCACCAGCATGTGGCCTTCCTGTACTGCCTTCATCCTCCTTTTCTCTCCCCATCCTGCTGTCACTTCTGGAGACTCATTTGCCTTCAGATCAATACTTGCAGTGAATGAATCAGACCTCCTGTCTGACTGGTTAAGTCAAAACCAAGAATTATGATCAATGTTATGGTGAGGAAACTTCAGCATAGTTCATGCTCATTTCTTCCTATCTGAACTGAAACAAATGAAATCCCAGACCTGTCATCCAGAAAATCCAAGTATCTGGCTCCTGACTGCAGCTTGTAACTGCTGCTTCTGAAGGCAGCAACAGAAACCTCCGTCTTCAACATTTATGGAATCATCTGTCTCCAAAGAATACTCTTTCCTCACTGGCATTAGTTACAAATCCTTAAATAGATCCCTCTCTAAGTTTGGGGTATTTTTAATCTTTACAACCATAACTGGGAATGTTTTTGTTAGCCACTTAAATGCCCTATCCTTTCTGAACCCCAGCAATATGTTGGAGTAATTAATTTTCTTCTTCACATCGCTTATTTCTCCTGCAGATACTTAATGAATGGGAGTTCATTGGGGGTAAGTCCCCGTGCAGTGTACCAGATCTGCTACACTCTTGAGCAGGCTTCTCAGGAGTAGGGCTGCAACAAGTGCCCCTCCATGTCACTTCACTGCCTCCTGTTGATGACAGAAGGCCTGAACCTAGTGAAACAAGTATTTTCACCACTGCATCACCAGGCAGACAGGACAAAGGCATTGCTCTGAGCATCACGGCCATCATCACCTCTATAAGGCTGTTTGCAGAAATACAACCAAATCCACACTACCTCTTCTGCATTCAACTAAAAAAAATTCATCCCTTTCCTTCCCTACCAGCCAGTGGGGAATGATGCAAACGTCTTGTACCCGTATCAGAGCAAAATGCTTTCCGAAAGCAGCAATTTCCCTGGAAGCATGCAAGCAAACAGCCTCCCCCTTTTTGAGAGCCCCGGAGTTCCTGCTCACTTAGATCACAAAACTTCTTCCCACAAGCGACATGAATTGCAACCCAGCCACACAGTACACATCTACTTTGGCAAGCCCACTCCACACACCGGACAATGAAGAAAGTGAGCGAGAGGTACACACAGCCAGGCTGCACATCTGGTGGCTATCAGGTTGGGTCAGGCAACGTTATCTTTGCTGCTACGTTGCTAACATCTGGATTTAGAGCCAGGTGAATCCGGCTGGGAACAGCAGCTGCCCATTCTGCAGCATAAATGTATTTTATTTGCAGGGAATTGTTTCTTTTTGCTTCATGCCAGCCCACTCAAAAACCCCAGCCAGGCCTGTGCTTCAGAAGTTAATAATTTAAGCTAACAGGGAAAGCAAGGGTGAGAACAGGCTCCAGTCCCACCCATGCCCGTCCCCAGCCACCACTTCACAAGAAAACATTTTTCTCTAGAAAAACATCTGGCAACAACAGTTGGCAGCAGAAGGCTCTTTCACTGCCAAAGGGGGCAGCTCTGAGATGGTGGCATATATCAAGGAGAATAACTCTTCAGAGCTATCTTCAGAAGAGATCAGAGCCTCCAGCACTGCTCAAATGAATTAGCATGTTGCAGCACAAAAAGGCCCAGGGCAGTGGGGAGGGCTGGATGTTGGTGGTACCGTGTGCACTGAACAGACTTGTAAATTCTCAATGAGAAGACGCCCTGTGAACGCAGCGCTCACGCGAGGCGACAGATTTACAGCTCCCAGAGGCTTCATTTAGCCACAGAACAGGCATGGCAGGC